TTCCTGTAAGGCTTTCAAAGTACTTGGTATTTCAGGCAAAAATCACTTTGGCGAGAGACTAAGATGCCTTGAGAGGGCATAGATCCTGTTGCTTTCTTTCAGCTGGGATGGAGTTTCCATCCGCTCTGCCAGTTTTCATCGAAGATGTCGACTCTCCTATGTGGCGCATCGCTCCATTTTTCTTTCCTGGGAAAGATGGTTATTTCGGGCATGCTGGGCGTCTTCCATTCTCTTCATCGTCAGGGGTCTTGTCAAAGCAGCACTTCTGCCACATGTGCTTAGGAAAAGCTGCCTCCCTCTCTGGGCCTGGCCAGCCACGCGGGTGAGAGTCAGCCCCGAGCGTTCCTGTCACCCCACGTGCCTGTTGACCACATTCGAATTCCTCATGTGTCGTTTTCTCTCCCACTGGAGGAAAGGGACAAGCACGCATGTCTCATTAACGTCGTGTCCTCACTGCCGAACGTGCCGTGAGAAGCAGTGCCTGCTTTCTCGATGCCTGAAGGTCTGTGGTCAAGTACTTCTTACAATCAGGGTGTTGGGGTGACAGCCTGGGTGTGAGGAGGGCACCTTCTGGCTGGGAACAGGCAGACGTGGTGAGTGGGCCGGTAGACGAGTAGCAAATGAGGTTAAGGCGAGGCCGCGTGCAAGTAACTACCTTCAAGGAGACGTGAGGGCAGGGACAGGCTCACAGACCAGGAAATCCCGGCCCTGAGGCCGAGGCAATGGCACTCCCTTTATGCGGGTGTTCCTCTTGAGCTGTTCACAGGCATCTTTTCCATACAGCAGAGTCCCAGAAAGAGACAGGGAGCATGCTGGTGCCTGCTGTTCACAACAGACGACATGTGACCCACTCAGACCCAGATCTACAGCGAGGCAGGATGGAGCATGCCCAGGAGGACTTGGGCCTGCCGTCCCCACGGCCTCCTGTGGTACAGACACCCGCTTGTTCTAGACACGTCTCAGAATTTACGTTCAGAGGAGAGGGATCACTCACCAAGATGGCTGACCCCATCCTCACAAGCCAGCTATCTGTCTTGGTTAGAAATAGTTATTTTTCCCACTCCCAGCGCAAAAAAATGACCGTAATAGATCTCAAAATCTCTAGAAAAGAGACACTGTAAGTGACTGTCCAAAGTAATTCTGACAGCAGGTGGTTTCTCCGTGCACTTTGACCTCGCTGAAATGGTCTTACAAAGGCCAGAGGATGCACAGAAAATGTCACAGCAAAGAGCCCTGGATGGCCGGGGCAGCACGGGGCCTGGGCCTTCTGAGGCCGTCCTGGTAAGAGACCAGCCACATCTTTTCAGGGAACCAGGGCAGACACATTGCACTCCCTTCACTGCTCGGAAGTGTGGCCGATGCCCAAGCACGCGCCGTTTGGTGAGAAGAACTGTTCCTTCTGTCCAGAAAGCTCAGAGCTCTCTGCTCATCTTCTTCGTGCTGAGCTGAAGCTTCCCTGAATTAATGTCAGAATTAGACTCTATCAGGCCGATGTTTGGAAATAACACCTAGTTTTCCTGAATAGCACCTGTTTCACTCTCCTACGCTTACCGCTTTGTTGGTTTTCCCAGCTAACTGGTTGTATGTAGAGACTATGAGCATCTGCTTATTTGGGGAAGCTAGCAAGGTGCCTTGTTCATATGAAGCTCTCAAAGGAAAGGTTGGGGAATCTTGTCATGCCTAGCAAAACACAGTAGGGGGTGCCTAAATAATTTTTTTTAAGATTTATTTAACTTTATTCATCATCACTTTTTAATTTGCTAGAGAGCACATGTGCTCAACAGAGAGACAGAGGGAAAGGGAGAGAGAGAGAGAGTGAGAAAGCACGCCACGAGGTCTGGGACTTGAACCATCATTAGCTACGTGGGAGCCTTAATCACCGCTCCACTTGCTGCCCTCCTAAGGAATATTTTTAAAATGAGAGTGTTCATGGATTATTTTGTCATTTTATGCAGGTGCTAGTCTCACAAAATAATAGACCTTAGAGAGACTAAAGCCCAAAGAAGTTAAATCACTCAAAGACCCCCTCAGTATCTGAGTGTGAACAGGCGTATCAGATACACTTGTCTCCTTAGGTTGTCTTTCTCTTGAGTCATTTGGTACTCTATTATGCGTTTCCTTTAAGTAAGAAGCAGCGTGGTGTTTCCAGGCGTTGGTGCCACTCGAATTGAAATCCTGTCTCTACTATTTTTGAGCTCTGCAGTCTCAGCTTCCCTCAGCTAAAAGTTGCAATCATGACTTTCATGTGGTTAGTTTGTTGGACAAAGCCTATGAGCTCATATGAGAAAACTTCAAAACGTTTGTAGAAAAATGGAATTTAAAGTGTGGGTGGACTGAAAAAGCATGGCCCATGGACACGATGGAACACTACTTGGCCAGAAAAATCTGAGACCCTGGCATTCTATAGAAAGTAGGTGAACATGGAAGATTTACTGCTAAGCAAAGCAAGGTACACAGGCATTGTATTTCCCCACTCAAGATGTACCAAATGTCCGCCCTCTAGGGCAGACACTGGAAGACTGGGAAGTATCAAAACGGAGAGCATGTGGTTACTAGAGACAGTGAGGGGAGGGAGGGAGGAAAAACACAGTATGAGTTCACTTTGGTGCAAATATTTTTCATGTCCACATAATTTTTTCATAACATGCATTTTCCATGAACATCTGAAGATCCCTTGTGTATGTTAAAATGTCAAATGTCAGTACCTCCCACAATATCGGCTCTCTCGCTCTCTCTCTCTCTCTCTCTCTCTCTATATATATATATATATATATATATGCATTATATATACGTGTATATATATTTTCACTTCCCTACCGTGTAATCCAGAAAACTAACCCTATGGTTTGAAATAAGTACAGGCCAGCTTATCACCTTTGGGAAAACCCTGTAGGCCTTTGCAAGATGCCTTCACGTTCCTCTCCGTGACACCTATGACAGGTCTATATTTAGTCCGTCCTTACGCAGAGAAACTGGAACCTCATTCTCGTTTCCTCATACTGCTCTTCAATAGCGTCTTTAAATTTCCACACCAATAGCTCAGTTATTTCATACAGACACAGCGAATTTTAAATATTCCCCCTTTTTCGCTTGACTCATTTCTCTAGGGCCATTTTTATGCTACTGCTATTTCCCTAGGATGTACTCACTGTTTCCAATGGGTATTCTTCAGTGCATCTCCTTGAGTACTTTGTAGTCTTTTTTTTTTCCAACTGTAGAAATAATCATTGCTTCGTTCTAGTTTTTCCTGGTTTCTTCTTTTCCTTCTTTTTTATATATTTTTTTCAACATTCCCATCTTTTCCCACATAATTTTAATGAGCTGCCCAGCTCGATTACTCAGAGGCACCAGAGCGTTACAGGGACTGATCATTCTTTACAGAAGCCCCCTTGGGTTTCACGTCGTCCTGGGATTTACCAAGTGTCGTTTAATTTTTCTTTCTTTCTTTTCACACGCTTCCAACTCTTTATCACAGCCATTATTCACCTTTCCTGGTGATCTGCTTAACACTTCATTAAGCAATGTGCTCACCTCCACTTCTGTCTCTGCTCTTCGCCTGTCAACGAGACCCGCTTTCCCTCTTCGCTTGTGACCCTTCTGGGGCGCAGACCCTGTCGATCATGAGTCCCAGCCGCTGCATCTCAGCTCCTGCTTCATTGGCAGCCAACTCTCTCCACACCCTCCCTTCCTGTCCTTGTTTTTACCTTAGATACCGAGACACAGCACTCTGCTCGTCAGTACATACGTTGATGCTAGAACCTCCAAGGTTTTCTAAAGCAAAAACAAGATTAGGAAAAGACGGGGTAACCGTTCCATTGTATGAGGAGCTCAGCTTTTTTTCCTTTAAAAATTAAAATCTGCTGAATCACTGGAAACCAAATAACACCTCTGCTTTCTCACATCTTGGTTTGCCAGAAGTAGAGGCTGGAGGAGAAGGTGCCCTCCTTCACGTGCAGGCCAGGGTGTACGCATTTCCCTGTGCCAGGCTGGCCCAGCGCCCCAGGACAGAGGGATCAGCTGGACGCGGAGCACTCCGCCCTCATGCCTCTCAGCCCTCGTGGAGAGACCAACAGAGAGGAATAAATCATTTCAGAACATGGGCCAGCCGGCGGGGTGGCGGTTGGGGTAGCTGGAATCCCAGACCATGGTGGCTGGAAAAACATGGCTGGCACATGTGCGTGCATGTCAGGCAGGAGAATGGAAGAGAAGGGACTGTGGCATCGCCATCCCCCATGGGCAGTGGGTTCTCACGTTCTTTATCTCTCTGTCTGTGTCTCTCTCCAGGGAGTACATGTTCCCTATAGCAAAAATAATAATAATAATTCTGAATGTGATCAGATCAGATCCTAACACAATGACTAAGTGAGGAATACTCAGTTTTAATTCGTTAAATGTGTATCTTAGGCTCAATTGCAGTGGGGCAAGTTGTGTGGAGGGGTGCCACTGAGCAGTGGTGGAGGAGGCCACAGAGAAGGCCTGGGGTTGATCCCCGGCCCACTTTAAACAGGCCAGGCATGGTGGCACGTACCTGTGGGAGGCCAAGACAGGAGGATCCCAATGTGGCATGTGACTGTCAAAATAAGCCCTCTCGGACCAGCAGATGGCTCTGTCACTGGGCTCCCACATGGCCTATGAGGCTCAAGTCTGCACCTGGTGCCTTGAAACTCATGCTGGGCATGTGTGCATGCCCAAGACCCCAGGAGGAAAGGGGAGGAGAAGGGACTGCAGCATGGCCATCCTCCCTGTGGGGTTGATTTCTCACTTGCTCTCTCACTGTCTCTCTCTCTGTCCCCCTGAACCCATGTACATTAAGGAAAAAGTTCTGGAAGAAAAAAGAAGAAAAGGAAAGAAAACCTGTGTTCCCCATCCCCCGACCCCCACTCTTGCGTGAGTACTCTCTCTCATTAAAAAATATAGAGTACTCTGAGGAAATCTGTCATCTATGGCTTAGAGGAACAAGACCTTCCTGTACTGCCGTGCATGGATGGTACTCTTGTCTGTACTGATGGTGCTCCACCTTCTTAACGCCTAGACGAAGATCCCAGAGCAGCCACAGTAACCACAGCACCCGCTTAGTGAGAGCTGACGGGCATGCTTCCATCAATGTGCTCCTGACTCCAGGAGCACACCGTGTAAACAAGGCCCCGGGTTGTTGGAGGTCCCATTGTAGCAGGTGGAGACAGACAATTGAGAATAACGTTAATAAGTAAGGGAATTCTACTGCGTGTTATGAAGTTATAAATGCCATTGAAAACACGGAGCACGGGGAGGCAGGCTAGAGTAGGAGGTGGGCTTGTGCATCCTATGGGGGGCAGCAGCCAAGTGCCTGTGAACACCGAGGCTCCCCTCTCCCCTCCAGTCATCCAATGAAAGCCAGGCAAACAGAGAGGCCCTTGCATCAATGCAATGTTTAAAGGTAAATAGCCCCCCAACTCAATGCTTCATGGTTTATAGGATGTTTCTAGTGGCACACCTCTCAGCAGAGAGAGGCATGCCAATCTCAGGATATTAAAATAAAAATTGTTGTTTGGTACCACTTTCCCGCCCATTGGTTGCACAGATCTGTGGGCATCTTTTGCATTGCGGTACAGACCAAGATTTTACCTTTAGGTGATATAACATCTTCATATTCTTTTTTTTTTTTCTCCCCAAAAAGAAAACACTCAACCACATGAACCATGGACTTTTTTTGCTGTCTCTTCTGCAATGTCTCGCAGAGCACTTCGCAAAGGGTCACCCACACTGGCCAACTCCCACTGTCGTGAAGTCACCACGCACGTAGGCAGATCGGCAGCACACCTCGGTGTCCCTAGCACTCGTACACGTGTGAGCGGTTCCATGTGAGACATGAGTCCCAGTAGGGGTGGGAGCTGACGCCACCTGATTCACGAGACACACAGTCATTGCACAATAGTTTAAGATTTGCAGGCTCAGCATGTTTGCACAGACACCTCGCCCCCCTCCCCAGGACTTCCTGGCCAGATTTCACTAACTGCAGACTGGTGGTCCACGCCGGAGCACGTACAGAGAGGAACAGCGGTGTGTGCACGCGCGGGTATTCTGAAGACAAACTCCTATTTTACAGTTCCTCTCAGGGTCAAGTTTTTACTTAGATTATGTACAGATACTTGGAGATTAAATTTCTCGTCAGTTGTTCATCATTTTTGGCTTAGAAAACCTTGTCTTCTTTTTCTTTTTCTGGTCCAGAATCCAAATTGTTGCTTCATGGCACAGCAGATTCAGGAGTTGATATAATAAATATAAATCAAATATGTGCCCGGGGTCTACCTTCTGCTCGTCCTTCCAAGGAGAGGCCTTACGACACGCTGAGGTACTGTCGAGCGTACCTTGAAATGCCAGTGCTCTAGACCAATATGAGCCTGGCTGGACGAAGGGACGGGCTGTGCAGAGCTGAATTCAGAGTAAGTTACAAGCCTCCTCTAACAGGGGAAGGGAGACCCATCGCCTCGCTGTCTGTACTTGGCTGGCACCCTGGGCCATCGCTCACCTGTTGGCAGGCATTGCCATCAGGACTGAGTGTCACAGCCTTGCAAGAATGCAGCTTAAGGTCCCTTTGTTGAAGCAGAAGAAGGAAGCAAACATAGACTGAGCTGTTTGGGCCTTATCCGTTCTAGCTGAGTATCCATCTGGTCACATTTTTTTCCTGACTGTCAAAAGAAATGATCACCGTAACTATATTTTGTCACATCGATATAAACGTTTGAATGCCAACCAGACTGAAGTGAGCATAGGTATTCTGTCTTATTGCTATGCCGTGGGTTAAGAGAGAGTGATGGCAGTGATGTCCTGCTCTCCAAGTGCTGAGTGTGGAAGGGGAAGCAGAGGAGGAAAACCACAGCACAATCTACTTCCTTTGTCCCTCCCCAACCCTCTCAAGAAAATGCCACCGACATCAACTTCCAGAAAGAAGTTGACCATGTAAGAGAGAAAACCTTCTGGCCCTTCGAACGCTGTCACCCCGTAAATGTACAAAGGCTGAGTAAAAAGATTAATGAACAAGTTAAAAGTGCTGGGCTCTGGGGCCAGCAGGTGGTGTAGTGGTTAGGGCAACATGGTTGACATTGGTTCGAGTCCCGAACTGGTAGCTCGAAACTCATGCTGGGCGTGTGTGTGTGTGTGTGTGTGTGTGTGTGTGTGTATGAATACGTGTCCAAAATCCCAAGAGGAGGATGGAGGAGAAAGGATTGCAGTATAGCCACCCCTCCTGGGGGGTGGGGAGAGGTGATATCTCACTTTCTCTGTCTCTCTTTGTCTCTCTGGTGAACACACACACTCCATGGCAAAAATCTCTCTTAAAAAAAAAAAAAAGTGTTGGCTACAGTGGTCTGGGCCCTCACTCACACTGAGGTGAAGCTTTCTGCGGGTATTGGAGTCAAAATAGAAACTTCTTCAAGCACCTGCCTAAGGAGGTCTTGTGGAACCAGGATGGATTCCACATATTTATCAATCTGAAGGAAAAAAAAATACAAATAAACAAAAAACAAGATTTCACCCTGGATGGTCGATGACCCAGTGCCTCACAGTGTGCTCGGAGGGCTGCAGTAGCTGTGAAAATAAATAGAGGCCCCAAGAATTCTCTCACAAAATAATTAGCTCAGCCCCTCTCTGTGGGGCTGCCTGCTCTGCGTGTCCCCTCCCGGCTCAGGACAGACGGTGGGTCTGACTGCTGCTGCACCACCTCCGGCTAATGATGGCCATCACTCCTGGCAGGGCACTGGGGTCACTAGCATGCTCTCTGTGCCAAGGGCCCTGCTCTTCTCCCGCCTCGTTCTCCAGATCGTGAGCGACGGCGAACGGATTAGGGAACCAGATTCTTCTTTGTGTACACAATGTAGATTTGACCTTGAATCGTCCTTCTGTGTCTTCTGTGATCTCGTGAGCCCTAGACATAGACTTTCAAGCAGCCTTGTCAAAAATCTCCAGCTGTGCTTTGGTTTTGAGTTTAAATCACAGTATTCCCATCATTTGTTGGTTTTGCTGTGAAGATGCCTGGGGCACCGACGGCAACCGAGAGGGCAGACTCGTCCTCGTCGGTAATTAGAAGGAGCCTGGTAGTGATTCGAGGTGGCTCAGAATTCATACGTTTTCTTTTTTAAAAATCCCAGATGTGTTAGTGAGATGACGTCGGCTGAATTCATCGGAGCCGTGTGGCTGTCTTTTTAACCTTGCAGCCCTGCTCACTATATATGCAGTCAGTCGCCAGAGACCCTGGGCCGCTGCTGTGCCCCTGAAACCTGATAAAATGCATCAAATAGTCAATGCGTTTTCCGGTCTTCCTCGCTGTGGGTAACTGGCTCTGAGGTTTCAGTGACATCGCTGTAGCTGCAGATGGAAAGAAATTCCTAACACTTCACACACGGGCTAAGGCTTCGTGGGCGCAGAAGAAATGCCTAATGGGTCGATGAGAGATTGAATGAGAAAGATGTTGCATGTGGTGTTTCAAAGCACCAGCTCTGTTTAACTCTAATGCAGCAGTAGAGAATCGCCTCACCTCGGGTACACAAAAGCTGCTTCGCACGGAGGTAGATTTCTACAACTTCTCCTCGGTGTTAGTTTAGGGTTCGAGGAGGCCCCAGACACGTCGAATCGCTCCGCCTGAGCTCAGACCCTGTTTCCGGTGTTATTCTACTGTCTTTAAAATAGGTATTAATGTTCATTAGCAACTGGACTCTGATTTGCAAACTGGCTTTCAAAGACAGACAGGGATGCTATTTGGGGGGGAAAGAATATTTTAGCAGCGTAACCACGGAAACCAGTGCCACGGCAAATTAACGGATGTCCTGCGTTGAATAGCACGGGAAGGTAATTTGTGATCATCAATTAGGAACTTCGCAAATTCCAGAGCCTAATATTAAGGTGGACAAAGTGGAGCCATTACAAGCTTTATGGATTGTTTATACTTCCATTTGGACAATATCTATGTAATTCACAAGCCTTTCTACTAAAAGAAAAATGAAACTTTCTTCAGCTTTCTTGATCTGCCCTGAAATGCTAGCATAGTTCATCTGGAATTTAACCATGGCTGGAATGGGATCAAATTGCATTTTAATGTAAATATGCACAGAAAAGATAATCAATAAATTTTCTAATTAGCCTTTACTACCGTAACCATAAATACGCCTCTGGTGTTTCCTAGCATGTAGAACGTATTCTCAACCTTGCGAAGTCTTTTTCTTCCGCTGTGGGGCGGCTATGAACATAAAGGACAGTTGAAGCTAAAAATAAAGAACATGGAAAGGGGCTGGCCCTGTAGCATAGTGATTAGGGAAGCCGCATTCCACACTGGACTATGGGTCCAGTCCCAGCCTTGGTCACTTGACAGACACTGGGCATGCATGCACACACATACACGTGTGTGTGTGTGGTCTGATGGAGGAGTGGAGGTGAGGACGGTGCAGTGCAATGACACGCCACTGGGGTGCTTTCTCCCTCTCCCTCTCACTGTCCCTTTCTGGTGAAAGAGAGAAGAAAGAGAAAGGCACCCTTGGGCAATGAAAGAAAATGCAAATGGGATTATCATAAGGGAAAGCGGGGAAGGAGATTTGCGGAGTCTTGGACCCAAGCACAAGGATCAGGGCCCGTACAGCTGCCAGACACTCTGAGCCGCCCAGGGCCAGCATCGCTGCTGCAGCCTCCTGGGCATCACGGCTGTCCCTCGCCTCCTGTCTGACCCAGTGCATCCAGCAGTGATCTCACTTAAACTCACTGGAAATGGGGGCCATCTAGGGAATAAGTCAAAAAGGGTTTTGATGTGAAGGTTTGTCCTGTTGCTCAAGCAAAACCCATCTCTCTATGTAGACAGAATAGCAAGTGTTTAGGTGAATTTAAAACCATCTAAGAGTCCCAGCTTGGTCTACCTTCACTTCTAAGATGGAACAGTAGAAAAGTTTTTTCTCTTGTGATGGCAGGTTATACATTTACATGAGGACGGCCCAGTGGCTTAGGGAACCAGATCCCACGTGGCCCATCCTGTGGTCTGACTCTCTCTTGGCCCAGGAGCTTTG